CGGAACCGCCGTCAAGTGAAGGTAGTAGTCGTGGCGAAACGTAGGATTGGTGAAGGCGAAGACGTCACCGTAGATTACAAGTCCGACCTGTGGTTTACTTGCTGTTGTGGATCTCGCTGCTGTGTTGCTGGGCAAGTATCACAAAAAATGCGGCAGTTCACGTGAAAGCGCATTAAAAATGCATCTCAATGATGCGTCCACCACCGCCGAAGACTACATATTGATGCTGAGAGAGACAAAAAGAGAAGGCGGGGAAGGATGGCGGGTAGAATGCTAGAACTATAGTTAAGGAAAAAGCGGTACTTGACGAGATTCAGGAGATGTTCCTGGTTATGGTATCGTGTCGAGGTTTTGCTAAACGTCTGTATTGATCATGAGAGTGCGGAAACAAATTATGATTTATACAGCTAGTCTACTGAAAGTCCAGTGCGTGAGCGTTGCTCTGAGGGCGTCCTGGTGGTACAGCGTGAGGTAGTGGAGACGTTGTGCAGGCATCTGGGCCTTCTCTCTCTCTTCGTCTCTTGGATGCTCCTCGGTAAACCATTGTGCGCTTCCCGGTAACACTGATGAAATCACTATTGTGCATGACAAAAAGCAAGTGAATGCACTGACCAAATTTAAAGAAGTATCCGCAGCCACAGGTCTGTTGATGCAGATTGACACACCAGCCCCATCCGTCTGACCTTAAATCTCCATCCGAGCGTAGTTAGTTCCGAGCTGAGCAGACACAGCGATTCCCTCCTCTGTGCGATTTTTCCAAGGCACGAACATTCGCTCCGTTTTCTTCGTCACAACAAACTTTAGTCCTGCATGGGCCAAATGTTCAAGACCAGACTCAGGACCAGGAGACACTTCATATAGGCTGCCAGCTTTCTTCAACTCGACCACGCGTCGTTTCAGCGACGCGCTTACCTCGATCACGTTTCGAAACTCACGACAACTTTCGGAGTCATGACCACAGCATGCGAGTAGTTGTAACAACAGCGTTCCTAGCTTCAGTCGCGTACGCAGAGTGTAGTCGCGCTTGAGGACTCTGTTGAACTGCCCGGCGGGGTTATTGGTAGCGGCAAAGCCAATTGGAGTGTAGAAGCACTGCCACCTATGAAATCTTCCATTAAGCCACTGCGCCATAAGATAATCACCAAACGCTCTCGTTTCCTCCGTTGCAGCCCATCGCTTTATGACAGATGCCCGACGCTCCAAAAACGCATTGGTATTGAGACTAAAGTGTAAATCATACACGTCGCGGGTGACACGATGCTTCACCAAATCTTCCAATGCTTTAGTGTGCTCCACCAGCTTAGCTACCACGTGATAGAAGCACATTAATTGAATATAGTTTCCAAAAGCACGTCGGCACGCGTTATATTGTGCATCGTCTCCATCACCCATCACGTACCAGACATACAAATGCTTTTCCACATCTACCTCGTACACACGTCGCAATGCCGAAAGGGCATTAAAATATTGAGGCTCTTGCTGCTGGGACATCACAAATCGTGCAACGAGGTGAAAGGTACGGCACCGATCGGACCCTCCACACACGAGAACAGGATAACCGAGCTGATTCGTCTTGTAGGTAGCGTCTAAGTGAAAGATGAACTTCTGAGCCGGTCGATCCAAGCGCCTCAGTAGTCGCTTAGTAGTTATATCCATGACAAACGGTTTCTTGTCAGAACCTTCGCCTATCGAAACGCGTCCATCTTCGTTATAGTCTGTCGCAAATGTGAATGCAGCCGTTTCTGGTTCTGAGCCCGTGTAGACTTGGTCATGAATTATTTTTTCCATGTCTTCAAACCAGTCGTTGTTCGTCTTGCGAAAATAGTTTGTGTAGTTCTGCACCATCGACAGCGGGGGTAACAAATCTTGACTTAACTGTAGCTTGCGTCCCATGGAATGCCGAATGCGAGAAGCCGCTGCGTGAATATGCAGGGCAATCGCCTCGCGGATGATAGTCTTGTGTGCGGTAGTTAAATAAGCCGGCGCAAGGTCCCGGGCTCGATTTGTGTGGTTGCCACATTCAGCAATGCATGTAACGCCTGAAACCGAGCATATCAGCACGCGCCCTCTCCACAGACATTTCACCCCGGGTGCAAGGGAACCGCGGCACTTCTTCGAGCCACACCTGAGCAGTCTGTATCGCATTGTGTGTGGCCCCGCGACCTCACAAATGTTACAGCACACCAAATTGCTCCTGGTGATGACATATCGCTTAAAAGTAGCTAGGAACTCGTTAGCCTCCTCCTTCGTCACGTTATTGGCAACCTCAATCCAATCGAGCGGCATCATCTTGCCCGGGAAGCCTCTTGTCACTCGGAGATCAAGTTTACTAATGGATTATCGTCGCTCGACCCTTCAAACCTCGCTGCTGACTGGCTTAGAAATGACTGGTGTGCCAGATTTGAAAATGATGCGTCGAATCAGCAAGTACGTGCGCTGGTCGGCTTTTTTGTTGTCGGCCCGCAACTGAATGTACCGGTATCTTACCGGTGCAAAAAATACCAGGCATATAATTGGCTATTTATCGGCTTTCGAAGAAGTAGGGAGTCTCCCTTTCTATCTCAGGCCCTAGTTGAACTAACGGAGAGATGCGCCCTATTAGAGTCCGGACTATATTTAATAGAAGAGACAGAGCAGACTTTATACGGGTGAGGACTTTGTTGGTCTGACTCTTTCTAAGCGTTAATTTCTATGTACAGTGGGTCCTTGAAACTCTCGGAGTCGTTACGGCAACCGTAAATCTGAGACATGTTGGGTCGCTATAGAGGTTTATGGTTGCTTTAAGCGTTTTAAAAATTACCAGGCGTAATTTAAATTTACGTACTTTTCAAACGGCATTAAGTTCGAACGACTCGAGCCGCTCATTTACAAAGCGGCGGGCATTAGAAGCAAGCGGGGGCCGACTTCTACGACGGCAAGGAGCGGCGTGAATCTAATGCAGGAGACTCATGTGACTGGTACGTTACCCCTTCATTAATATTGCAGTTCATGTTGCGGTGATTGCTGTATGCAGAGGTACTTACAATGTGCGTGTATGCGTGCACCAGGGCGCACGTTGCGTGATCAAAGCAAGCACAGCCTGAACTACATGCTGGTGACGCTGGGCATTGAGAAGGATGACGACAGCGATGAAGGCTTCGTCCTGGACTACATGGAGGAAGACCATAAAGAAGAAGAAGATCTCCTCTTCTCGGTGTCTGACGCTGATGTCTCCAGCTTGCAAGTAAGGCGTGACGTCACCAGGCATAACACACATCGAACACTTTTCGAAGAGCTCTTAGCCTTCACAGCCTTCGATATGTGGGATCTCATGCTGTACCAAACCAAGAATTTACGTTTACCGTGCATCATAAATGGAATAGCCACATCAATCCACTTCGTGAGCAGCTCGCTATCCACCCAAGCTCGGGGTTGGTGTGCCACGAAAAGTGGCCCTGACTTTTTTTTCAAAAGACGGAGACTATTTTTCTTTCCAGACCAAAAGTGGGGGCAACTTTTGGCCTGTTGCCGACAAATTGTTCCTCTCTATTTAAGTAAGTTTGTAATAGCATGTTTGGTAGTTTCAAAAAGGACTCTATTCGGGAGAGGCTTGTATTTAATAGTGCAGACGTGTGGCACCCCACAGGACACTATTCAGAAGGGGGCTTTTATTGGGGCGTATCCGCTACATGAACTATAATAGTAGTTGACATGATCTATGTACCAGTACACTGTATTTCTTATTCCGTAGAAAGATCATTGTTTAGAATAGTACTTAAATTATCATTTAGTAGTACTACAAAGAACAGACTCAATGTACAAAAAACTATCATATTTAATACTACCTCCGCTCGGAAAAAGATAACCATTTCAAATTATATTACAGCCTACCCAACAAAATACCCTCGCTAAGCCGATCCTTTTTTGGATTTCGAATCTCCCGCGCTTTCCCGACCAGACTGGCTCCCGCTCCCAGCTTTCATTTTGAAAGCTGGCGGGGGAGATCACAGACAGTGAGCGCCAGGCCGTCTGGGAGACCTTGCTGCTTCGCAGCGTGGGAGAAGTGGTCAAACATGGAGAGATCGTTCGGGTTGCAGCGTACTTCCGTGTGGGCCGCCAAGTTGTCGAACGAATTTGGAGGCGTGGAAACAATTCGATGGGAGATCGAGTAGCAGCCGTGGTCCAGTCAAGGAAGAGCGCATGTGGTAGGAAGAAGGTGGTTCGAGCTGAGCTGTGCGAGAGAATCGCTGCAGCTCCTGTCAATGAGCGCGAAAACCAGCGTCTGCTTAAGCGCGCGTCCAACATGAGCTACTACCTGGTTCAGCAGCTGATCAAGGAAGGCTACATACGGCGTGCGCTCAGACAGACCCGTCCACTACTTACACCCACGCACAAGTTTGCGCGCCTCCGGCACAAGGACAAGCAAGTACGAGCTGGCACTCTCCCTAAGTCACTGCCTTGTGACGCTATCTCACTCGCCAATGCTAACGCGTACATGCTGCTTCTTGCAGCGAGCAGCCCCCCACCGCCTACCGCTTATGTTCCAGAAGCCCCACTGAGCGCCCCTTCAGAATGTGGCGATGCTTAGATCCGTTTTTGTATCTGTAGTTGCACGGCGGAGCATGAACGCCTGTGCCTTGTTAGTTTCTCACTGTCAGCTCTCGGTCATAAAGCTAGCTAGCCTGCCTCTCACAAATTAATAAACGCTTAAATGAACGAGGCGGAGCGCTGCGCAAAAAAAAACAAATGGTTATCTTTTTCCGAACGGAGGTAGTAGCATTTACAAAAGGCTTTTGAAGGTGCGATTACCCATTGAGGTTGAAAAGAAGACCCAAGAAAACTTGCGGTGGAAATTTCACCCGTCTGTTTAATAGGAAATGCTGTGTTGCAGTTTAGACACAAGGTTTTGTTCAACAATAAAACCACGAAGCGCTCTACAGAAAGTTCTCTAACACTTCAGACGTCTACAGCTGTTGTCAAACTTGAGCGTCTCTATTCTCCAGAACTAGATGACTTCAAGTTTACACCACCGGCTGAATGCTTGTCCAGATGGCACTGACCATATCAAGCTCGTCGCCGCTTCTACCATCAAATCCGCCCAGCTGGTAGCCCTCCCTTGCAGTGTCCGTTCCAATATTGCCCGTCTTGGAACCGCCTTCGATGAATCTCCCCTTGTTGGTGGTGAACTTGATGTACTTGATTCGCGTGTGTCCTTCATGTTTGCCCCAGTGTGCCTCCATGACAGTGATGTATTCACCTTCACCTAAGTCTAACGGGGTTCGTAGGTCACCACCATCACCGCCATGATACAAGGTATTCTCCTCCCCCGTTGGACTCACGACGGTGAGCATGACGGCATCAACGCGTTCCGAAGCGCGGATATTGATGGACTTCACTTTTTGTCCAGACTTCACCACGTCCGCGTCGGTGAAGTCATCGCCGTGGGGGCCACCGAATAACGGACCGAGGTAAGTGCCAGGAGGCATATCGACATATTCCTCTCCTTCTTCTTCATGTGCTCCACGTGCTCGTCGACGCGCTCTTCTTCCTACTCCTCTTGAACGACCACCGCCACCGCCACCACCCCCACCACCTCCGCGGCCACCACGTCCACCCCCACTTGTTCTCCTTTCCTCCGAAACCGTATCATCACTTGCTACGTCGTCTCCGAAAAAATTGAAATCGGTTGAATCCGACCTCAACGCGGTCTTGGCAGCGGTCGAGACACCGTCGTTGATAGCCACAAAAGCGACCGCAACGGCCAACACGAGATGCAGCACGCGCATGTCTTTTGTAATCAGTTGATGGAAGGAGCGCAAATTCGGGAATGGTGGATTAAAGTGACGATGGCGGTTGATCACTTGCAATAGAGCTGAGAGTCGGTGTGTGGTCCAGAGCCGTGCATCTGAAAAACTATCCGAGAACCGGAAACTCGGAGCTGTATAAATAGCAACAGTGCGATTTGGAGAGAAGATGCGTCAGTTTTACATACGTCGAGTATTAATACATGTATTATTATAAAATTATATTAATAAAAGACGGATGCCAACCACTTGTTGCGTCAGATTAATCAAAGAATGTACCAGTACTTTTGTACATATGTCCACTGGTAGAACTGTATCTGTGAGTAGAGGATGCAGATGGTGACTTTTAATAGAGGGCGATATTAATAGTGAGCGGTTTTAATAGAAGATGTCGAAACTTGGCCTTATGAATATCTCTTACTATATTCGAAGAGGCGCTGATTGCGATCCGTGAGCATCTGGGCGGATGGCTGTACGCCATCTTTCCAATTTGATGTGTGCATTTTAACTTACTTGGTCAGGGGCTAATGGTAACCAAATACCATATGATATTTTTTTTAATAATAATAGTACTATTTTTGATATAAAATATTAATAGTAACTCATTTTTGCAAAAGTTAACATAGTATTCTAATATTAACTCGGAGAACTGAAAAATATTAGATACTACATGATATTTTATGATATTTTCCCACTTAAGTACGTTTCTTGCCACCTTACCCTCTGTGAACCGAGCGGAGCCAAATAACTTTTTCGATCAGGTTCTAGAAAAGCAGTAGGCTTTAAGACTGACGAGTATTTGCACTAGTATTTCACTGTGACACAGACAAACGCTTGCAGCTGTTTAACGTTGATAGAGCGAAATCAAGATATTTGCTCTTGTTCTCTACCGATCTCCTCGTCCACATCGTGCGTATAATAAACCTGCTGCCTGTGGCGCTAGATTAATGCGCTGAGCAGTGCCAACACATGACGCCAACCTTGCCGTCACGCACAATTGTCCTTTCCTCACGGTTCATTAGTAATACGTCAGCTAGTCGAGCGTTAGCGACATCGGATTGGTGAATTTAGCCTGATTACGCAATCTTTTTAAAATATAATATCGTATTAGCTAATATTAAGTTGATATTTAATAATATCATATTGTCTCAGAAGAAAATATTAGGTGATATTTTTTATATTAACTGGTCTACAGGTGATATTTTCACAATATTAACTTAACCGATTTTGGAGCTACCATTAACCCCTGCGGTGCATGTATCAAATCTCGTTGGACCAAATTCTGGACCAAGAGATAAACGATTTGTTGAATGCAGCCACCAAACTCCGATTCACTGAATCATTCAGATTCTGTAGGGTCGTGTCACACGCCAAGGAACAGGGTTCCTATCCTCCAACGAATCGAAACAGTTGCGTCTATTTTAGCACATGGTGGGTAGGTATGCTAGATTCTACATGCTTCAATTTGTCAAAAACCAGTACAATAGAGCTAGCTGACTACTGTGAATAGAGCGCTTTTGGTATTAAGCAAACGTTTCACCCTACATCCATCGACTCGCCAATGTGCTTTTGCAGCAGATGCGTTTCAATTTTATCAAAAGAAATGGCCGCTTAGCTTGCGCAGCTACATGTGTCTATGGCAGAAGATCAACGGTGTCTTTTACCCCCCCCCCCCTCCCACATCCACAACAGGGATCTGAGTAAGTATTTAGGATGCGGGACGCAGAACCCGAGCCGGCGAAAGGCGGTAGTTATAAAACACGCGAAAGTTTCACTACAATGCCATGAATCGTTGTTTTTCTTCGAACGCTACATAGCAGGTTTTAGTAGAAGAGGTCTAGGCAGAGAGCCTCTCATATTGAAGCATAAACAAGACGATAAACTTTGAGCTGTAGTTGGGAAACAACAAGCGAGGGCCAATGAATCAGTGCGGAGCCCACGCTGCGGACTAGGGCCCCGCCTTATTACTTTTAGGAACAAATGTCTTACTAAGTTATTCTGATTTACCAACTGTGAAGAGAGGATCGTCAGAACTGTAAGTTTCAGTCTATAACACGAGCTCATCACGTTGGAAATGTAAAATGTGGCATCTGCTGATGAATCTGATCCGTGTGTTCATCACAATCACCGTAGAAGAACTGGCTCAAGTAGTGCAGTTTAATGTATCCAAGTTACTTTTTCATAGTGTAGCTATCAATTACTTCGAGGTAACAAATTAAGTTTTAAGATAGTTACTTTGGTACCGACTTCTCCATGTTGTGCCGGACGATTTTTAAGACGGACAATCGATTTCTACCAATAAAACTGTTTTATTATTGGCCTTTCTTGTCTCCATGTTAAGCCGGACAGTGCAGAGACGTGCCTCTTCCACCGTCTCTTCGCAGTCTGAGATTCAATGGAAGGCGCTCATGCTGAAGAAACTGAGGCAGACGAACTCACCCAGCGGGCGAAGCCTGTAGGTCGCCCACGCCTTAACGAGAATGGCGGACGTAAACCGCTTAAACGAAAGGTGGGATCATACACTAACCAACTAAAACTCGATGCAGCGACCCACCTCGAAAAGCACAACGATGTCAAATGTGGATATCCGTATGTAGATTCTCGTCAAATGGCTACTGCTGTTGAGGACGACAACTTTGCTAATGACGTGATCGCCGAGCTCCACAACTTGCATATTGTAGACGAAAGCTACGGTGACATCGATTCTGACGCGGATTTTGATAGACCAGGGTTGGAATCTGAAACAAGCACAGCAAATCAATAGACTCATTTTTTGTTCTGAAGTTCAAATTTTTTCTTATGGATCCAATCGGTGTAGATAGGGTGTCCGGCACAACATGGAGAAGTCGGTATGAATAAGACGAACCCCTCGAACAAGAAAAGAGGGTATTATGTTCACTGAGTGGGGTGATCCTACATGTATCATAACGCTTATTACGTGCTCTCCGCCACCTACGTGACGTAATGAGTCATGGTAGAAAGAGGATTATCACAAAGAGCGTCTGTCTTGGACAGAAGCCCACGGTACATGTACAATAGGTGTTACATGCAGTTTGGAATAAATCTCGATTGACGTACCCGATTCCATGGAGTTTCTGCACCTTTCATCACCATCATCATCATCATCATCATCATGGAGTGTGTGGTCCAACTTCGCTACCATGGTAGGGTGATCCGCATTAATAGGGCTTCGGTTTCTCACCCTGATAGCTCCCGCTTAAGAAATGCTAATGATGACCACGATATTGCGTGTGGCGTCGCTGCCAGCTCATAAAATTGAAAAATTCATGGTGGTCATACCAGAAAATGGGGGATGGACAGTACACGAAATCTGGGCTAACATTCATACAAGTTCCGGGGAGGGGCGACGCAGCTAATGCGCCAACTAAGGCGAGCGGGTGCGAGGTCGCGTAGCCGCAGCAAACCCGCGCGGGGAGCCCGCGAAGCAGGGCCGCGCGGTATTTGCGGAGGCGGGCCCAGCGCCGAGCTCACCAGCGAGCCGCGCATTGTACTTCCCAGGTGAGAGAATCTATTAATCGCGAGCGAAGCGAGCCCCAGCCAAGCGAAGCGCGGCTTGTAACGACCTCTTTACATTAAATAATGCCTTTGCCGGGTAATCCCCCCCGGCTGCTCTTACAAATGCCAAGTGAAAACAAAGCTTAAGTGTTATCCTGCAAAACAAGGTGTTTTAGATGCGTTGTCTGGCGTAGGGCGTTGCTTTTCTCCCGCAGGCACATGCAACTCATTAACACGTAGTATACAGTTTTAATTCATTAGCCTGGTTGCTAGAAAACATCGTGGCCTGGTGGTGTTAACGGCGCGATGTTATCCCAACAAGTGAAATCAGAGATGCTTGGCAGCAGTATAAGGAGTTGCGTCGGCTATTTTCACGATGACATATCGAGCTTGCATTCTTCCACTGTGGAAGTTCCACATTGATGAATTTGCCATTTTGACGCTGAAAAGGTGTAGGAGCGTAGTCGCACTAATCTGCGCAGTATTTGCGAAGGCGGGCCTAGCGACAGCACCCATTGCACGGTCTTAAACTTGCGGGGGGGGGGGCATTCTCGAGATAAGGCTCCACTTGATGCGTTTTGAGCTCGCCTGAAAATGGTAAGAAAAAAAAAGTCTATAATTGATTGTGCGGTCTGCATGATTATGAAGATGATCGTGTCATGCTTTCGATTATAAGGTTGTTTATGCAGCTACCATGTAGGTGTGGCGGCGTCTAGATCGGTTGGTGTATTCATTCAGCGAATATCTTTTGCGGGCAGAGATGCCAAGTTCAAGCTTCGGTCATCTAGGATTTATTCTTGAGCTGACCCAAATAAAGTCAAACGAAAAAATCAGTAGAATCAACTGAATGCCGTCTAGGCGAACTCAAGGCGTCTCTCTATTCAAGGCTACGACTAGGACTCCTCTATTGAAGAGCATGAACAACCTTGTAGGACTCTAGCAGATAATTATCTTAAAAAATCGAAGCTAAGGACAGGAGGTATGGGTTTCCATGCATTGTAAGCTGGTTATTTATTAGGACTGACATTACTCAAAACGAAAAGGTTTCATACAAACTCTACGTGACGCAGCACTTGATAATACTCAATTCAGGAAATCCGCTACAAGCATCATGCGTGTTGTTCACACAGTCCACCCAAGCTAAGTACGGTAATATTTTAGCCAATGCTTGGCATGCATGTTGCGCGAATGGAGTTTGGCAATCTGTCCCAAAATAGCTGTTTTTGAGGAAAAATAGCGGCGCCACGTTCAAAACCGTATTATATGTAAATTATCAAGCCCGTTGTGTAAAACGGGGAGAAACCTGTTAGACGACATTTCATGCAGAATGTAGATCAGCAGCACCGCCGATACAAGCAACCTACTTTTTTCATGGGCCACATTAAAATCTGATCTCTTTTTTAGATCTAAGACAAAGAATCAGTAAGGCTCAAAACAAGGGCAGACCAGGATCGAACATAGCATCGCGTGTAGAGTCAATTGACACAGCTACGGCACAGTTACGATTAGCAGAGAATGGCTTCGTCGCCCTACTTCTAATTTCAAAGTAGACAGGTATTGGGGGTAGTTTTCTATGAATTTTACGTAAACAGCTGGGCAGATGCTGCGGCTGCAAAGCAGACGTAAGAGATGCATCAAAGTGACAAGTCTTATAGAACGCAGCATACCATAAATAAGTATTCTGGCATATATGTGTCAGCCCAAGCACTACACCGATGCTGTCTGCTCTGCAATTAGTGGGGCATTGACAGAACGTTTTATCGCAATAAAAATATATTTGGCTTTGATTTAGCTTCAATATCAGACAGTGGTAGATTATATTAAACAAAAAAACTGCAGCCTATTTATAGTATAATAGCACCATGAAAAGGGATGGTAACACCAGGGTTGTGGCTGCCAACACCAGAAGGTAGGAGGGCTCAAATCACCAGAAAAACAGCTTTCCACAACCACGAAAAGGCTATTAATAAAAATCATCAGGACAGCGTTTAATACTACATTCGCTGCAAATGGAACCTAACGATAGGCTGTAGCTCGGTAAGTAGAGCTAACTTGGGCTGACAGACTTTATCACAATTGTAAATTCGACAGCTATTGTGAACAAATACGGTGTGGCTATTTTGCCGCTGAATAGTGAGTTGTAGAGCGCAATCCTTAGGGTAGTCTGGAGTGTTATACAGTAATGTACATTTGTTCACGCACCCTCAATCTATTGCAGATATGTCAAATAAAGTGAACATTTTAAGCAATTGTTTTTTAATTTTAATAAACGAAGTCATAAACTGAGTTATACAGCGCAAACTTCCGGTCTAACGCATTATATTCAGCAGAGAATGCAACGATGAAACTTTAGTACAAAAAGATCAAATGATACAAGTTTGTAAGCTGGCTCAATATGATTGATTTGATTTCGAATACGCGAGATGTTTTTTTTCATATTTAAATATCGATGCATCATAAATGCGTATATAACCAGAAAAGGCAAGAAAGTTCAGGAGTAATAAAAGTATAAATATATTTAGACAGAAGGCTAACGACGTGTGTGGATGTGATTACCATCTATAATCTACGTCGCTTCGTGTGGTCGCATGACTGCCGCCTTGTTCGTATATTCGTGGATGAAATGGGCGTGTGTTCAATGCTTGAGCCATGATAGACAGGTGATGCTTGGAAATGTGCGGGCTGCTCATCAGGAAAGTTGACATCTGTGTAAGGGAACGCGGCCGATGACAACACCTTAAGAACACGTCTCTCACTGCCGTATATTGCCTCTATATCTCCAGTTGCGGTGCTGGTGACGTCGTAACCATCATTGCAATCTGCGTTGACCTTTAGGTCGAGCTCACGAGCTGTTGCTGGCGAATTCCAAGCTGTGTTTCCTGAAAACAAATCAGGTGACCGTGGCTGGGGCCCTTGCACGATCAATCCATGTAGTCTCGGGAGCGAGTTGAAGCCGGTATTTAGTGTTGGTCCTATCTGTGGCCCATGCACGCTTTCTTCTGGTGTTGATGACTCAGTACAAGGTTGTTCTTCACCTCTTGCGACTTGTTGCTGGATACGCTGAAGCATGCGATCGCTAGTTTGAACTTGTTGCGACCCTTGCATAGCTCTATCTCCACGCTGCCGCTGATTGGTGAGAAAGACTGGCTCCGAATCGGGCATACCACGACGCGACAAACCTACATCACGCGTACTTCGTATAACGTGTACGCCGAGGTAAAATTTTATGTGAAAACGGCATGCACATGTCCGGGACCGTGCATCAACCAACCAGCCGTCGTTAGGCATATCTTGTTATTGCATGCGTAGAACATGAATAAACTTGAATGACATTTTCCTCTGCAAACAATCGTCTGTTATGTTACTTTCTTGATCGCCATATCGCGCGCGTGGACAATGCACCACTTGCATAAGCTATATTTTAAGGTTACCCACAGAAGGGAGCTTTCTGGTACGAATTTTGCGACATCGAATCAACAATGTTTTTAAGAGATCCGATACTGACGGAATACCACTTAATGTTGGCTTCATGTAGGTGAAAACTAACCTGGATTTATCTAATCGTTTGATCATTTGGGCTGGCGTTGCCTTTGATGACTAGTGAATTATTTTGAGCGTCCGAAGATATTGTTCCGACGGGTTATTGGCTTTAGCACATCCTGAAGGTGAGTGGTAGGCTTGTTAATTTCTGAAGCGAGGGTACAATATCCATTGATCTATGATGTGATCTGCAGCTGCTTTAAAGGACGGGCAGAGCGAAGATGCCGCCTTTCACGATGCCAACACGCTTGATCTGGGATTTAAATACTCCTCTTATGACCGTGCAGAGTGAAGATTGTTTAAATCCCTGAAACTCATGTTTACAGTAACTATTTGCAGCTTCGCCTTCATAAAATGATCTCTCACGTTCTGCTAAACGTGAAACCAGCACATAAGAATTTTAGATATTGGTACTTGTGCAGAACACGCATTTAACTGCGCGCTGCCAGCGTCCGTCATGATAAATTTGGGCGCACAATGTAGTACCATAAAGGTCTCCCATATAACGCGTTTTAGAAATACAAAACATCATTTTATATCAGATCCAGTTCGTTCAGAGGTGCAAAAGTATACCAGAGGAAACAACTTGCCACAGTAATCTGACACACCAAACCGAAACTGGATAGCATTGTTTAACGATGCTATGTGTGCTGTCGATGTGAACGAGTGTTGTGTAGCGTGGATCCTACAGAATTATGATATAGTTTACAATAAATTCGAGCAGGTTATCCAATGTGGATGGGAGAAAGAATGGAGCCGTTGCTGAGGTTCGGAGCCAGTTGCCGGCTTGATATTTAGTATCATACAACACTATGAGGCTATTACCGTCGTGTGATACACGGTTCGCATCATCATACATACTAGAACCAATACGTTATGGATGCCACATAATCACCTCCTAGCATCTAACTCGTCAAACCGATTCAAAAACTGTACCACAACAAAACATTACTGTCGATCGTGATAATTGATACAATTAGATTCCAGACAAACACCCTATCATGAACGGTCTTATCGTACGGTCTTTTTGAAACCCAACGGCTATTTGCCTCCTTTCATTTACTACGGTACTACTACCAATCTTCTTTCCAGTTCAAGTAGACAGGTCACAAAAATATTCAATTGGGGGATTTTGCCTACTTACACGGGTGACACAAGTTGATCTTAACCCCTTACTTCCCGTGACAAAAGTGGGGGGTATATTTTGTTGTTATGTTGGAGGTCCAACATAATTTTATATGGGAGTTTGTATGCTTCAGAATCCGTCCGGTTTTGTCCTGTGGATAGTACAGGATACCTCCAGTAAAAAAAGACGAATCTAACTTACCAGCATCTTATGTTGGCACTAGTGATTGTCAAAATCGGTTAAGATGACTGGGCAACATAAGAAATGCCCTGTTTATTTGGAGGCCATGTTTCTGCATCGTAGCACGCGTCTAACACAACTGCCTTGAAAAGTCAACGTAGCATTATGGGTTCAAGATGAGCCGTTGCACAGGGCTCGGGGTTCAGGATCAGGATAGTGTGACAAAGTAAAAGCACGCCATTCGCGTTTGAACTGGTGGCCGCCAGCCCAAATCTCTCCTCATTCTTCAATTTTGCAGCTTGCACGTAAGACCAAAAGCGATGGTCGCTTCGGCAGGTAAAGGGCCACCCGGGCGGACACCACGGACCACGGAGCCAGGACACACTGCAGGAGAGACAAAGGAGCGACACGCGCAGCTGCTGACCAAGCTCAGCGATCGACACCGCCGCCATC